TCCAACCTAATAGCAATGGCCTCCAAACTACTAGCAATGGCCTCCAAACTACTAGCAATGGCCTCCAAACTACTAGCGATAGCCTCCAACCTACTAGCAATGGCCTCCAACCTACTAGCAATGGCCTCGAACCTACTAGCGATGGCCTCCAACCTAATAGGGCGAGTTTGCGCCTGAATGCTCTCCTTCAGAACTTTGCGCTGGCCCCCTTTGCCCACCGGAATGTCGTCTCCCTTGGTACGGCTTTCATGCAGGAAAAGATCTCAGAAGCTGACTTGTGGGAGCCAGACAGCATCGGCAGCCTCACGCAAGCAACACTAATTTTTCAGATTCGGTGCACACTGTTGGCTGTCGGTTTGTATTATCTCCCAAGCCTTGTGCAGCTTGGTCTTGCGAGAGCTAGTGGTTGTCTCGGTCATCACCTGGTATAAACACAAGCAGCTGCCGCTTGTTGCAACTGTCAGCTTGCCCGCCTCCCCGCACGCGCGGCGTCGACAAAGAAAAGGCTGATGCAGTGAAAACGAAATCCCTGTTGAGCCGACAGTGGTAAGCACAAGCCATGTTCTTCGGTCAATGCCATGATAGATGAGCCAAAACCATCAAGAAGCTGAGAAGGGGATGTGGAATTCCGTAGCGCTTTTGAGAGTGCCAACTTCTGCAGGTGCTTGTCTTGGCGATCTCTAATCCTCCTTTATGGCTCGTTCATGCTAATTTTCAAACAAGTAGCTCACTACTCACAACCTTCGACTGAAACATGTTGCAGAATCAGACGTGTCGGATCCCTGGCTGAGGGCAAATGCACGACAAAACACACCACAGGGTGTTGCTTGGAGCTCCTAATCGCTCTAATGTACATCCTCCGGATGCCGAGCAGTTGCAGGTGCAGGACAAAAGTGACATGTATGGGAAAACGTGACTGCAAACTTGTAATGTTGCCCAAGTGCACCAAGCCTGCTGGCACCGATTCCACACTAATCATGGCTTTCAGAGGCTTTGAGAGCCGAAATTGAATTGCGCGGCCGATCACTACCACCAGCGTAAAGCTTCTGCTTTCGACACCCCCTCATGCCTGGCTTCAATTCAAGCTCTGACATTCCACTTCATCATCGGACAAATCCTGAGTCCCCAGCGGCAGTGGATGGCCAACCCAAGGCCTACGTAGGGCCTACGAGCCAAAGCCGTAAATGGTGCGGCCCTGCCGCTTCAAAGCATAAACGATGTCCATTGCCTGGCGGTCGCAGACTAGTGTCCGGCTGGGCTTCTGTGCACCTTTAGATTTTGTTACCCTACAGACAGCGTCTACAAGTACAAGTCTCCTGGTTTCTATGGTCTACAGTATTCGTTTGTGGATGTTTGTGGATTTCAGGAAGATGAGACTTCGTCTCTCCTTAGCTCTACCTCCTCCCTCCGCAATTTCAGCCAGGGTGCCGTGACAGTTTTGCGCCGAGCGTGCTCAGTATAGGTAATCCTGAGCTCGGATGGCGGCAATATTCTTCTTCTAAATACAATTTGTTGACTTTCATCTGCCTTTGCTTGCTCAGATTCTTCTCCCTGACTCATGGAAACTCGTGGGCTCTAAGAGCAAGACGAATCACGGAGCACATTCTCCAAGAAAGTCTTAAGGACACCTCTTGTCTCCTGGATTGCATCCACAAATCAAAGCCTCTGGGTGTCTCAAGCTCAAGCTGATGAGAGACTCAAGGGATCCTCGTAAATGAGACCACTGATGCGCTTGACCCCACCACGTCGGGCGAGACGCCGAATTGCTGGCTTTGTGATTCCCTGCCAATGCAGCCACTGGTGACTGGTGCATATCTTGGAGTGGTGTGCCCACTGAACAGAAATCGGTTGTTGTGCCAGCCTGAATGCTTTCCTTCAAGACCTTTCTTTGCCCACCTTTGCCTACTGGGATGTCGTCGCCAGCCTAAAGCAAATTGAAATTATACTTAAAATATCGATTTTAAAAAAATGTGTGTGGGTGTGTATAACTATATATATAGGTATATATAGAGACGCTCTGGTCAGGTGATGCTAGGTGTCCCGCATCTGCAGCCTGCCCCGCATCTCATTAGATGTTCAAGTATCATTGGCGACAAAAACAAATGTATTTGGAGACAAAAGCAAGACCTTACTTTGTTTGATTGTAGCTCGTATGCTGCCTTGTGCAGCTTTGTCTTGCGAGAACTTGAAGTTGTGGTCTCAGCCATTGCCTGGAAAGTTCCAGCCAACCAGTCTGGATGCGATGGAATTGCTTAGAATGCTGGTCTGAACAAAAGAGATGAATATCAGCCAAAATGCGGGGTGTTATGAGCTCCATGAAGTACCCAACAAACAAATCTGAACAAATACAGTTATAGGAACACCGAAAGCGTTCGTGCCTCTGCCTCTCACCGAAAGCGTTCCTGCCGCTCCCTCTCTTTGAGCCAAGTGGAGATCTCCGTGCCCAGTCACGAGTCACGGACCATGTTCGGTTTCAGAGCAAACCAGCAAACCGTCGTTGGCAGGTTTCTTTGCATATCATCACGGTTCAACAACAAGGAAAGTCTTGAAGATTCTTCGAGCTATGGAAATGGATTCAGTTACAAGTTATGCATTCAATTCATCAAACTCAAACAGTGCAATTGCTTGCTGTTTCGTGAAAGAGCTGAAACATCTGGCTTGGCCAGGCCATGGCTTTGCCACCAAGAAGGTGGATTGATGATTGCTAATGTGTGACACGCAAACTTCGAAAGCCATCCTGAATATATATATATATATATAATATATATATATACTGTATATCTATATATTAATATATATGACGTGCTGCTGTAAAGGATCTGCCCTGCAACTTCCTAAACTGTTCACGTCAAATAAGCTGGTGTCATCTGATTGATCTGTGTAAAGTACGCTTTGGTTGGATGCACAGGCACCCGAAGTGGCACTGATCTTCAGTGCATTCGGTGAATCTCCTGCAATGCTCAAGATTCAAGATGCTTCCATATTATGCTTCTCACGACAGGTCAACTCTGGCATTGACTCTGTAAAGAGCGCTGGCATTGCACTGGTCAACTCTTGAGAAGTGGCCCATAGAAACGGCATGTCAAGAAGCTACTAGTAGAAAGGCACCTTACTAAGTAACTAGTAGCAAGAAGCTACTAGAAGCTCTTGGCATGACTACTAGTAACAAGAAGCTACTAGTAGCAAGAAGCCACCTAAAAAAACTGTTCCCTTCCCTCTCCCATCTTTCCCTTTTGGCACCTGGTCTCTGCTTTCAGTGCCACTTGTTCGAGCATTCCTGCGATCCAGATCGACCCGAATCCCCAACCACTTGGTCAAAGCATGTCAAGCATTTGGACCGAACGCTGCCCGAACGCAGCAACGCCTTCGGACCAAACTCAGCGTCGGCGCAACGGCTGCCTTGTCCGGCGAAGGGAGACACAAACGCGTCCACGAAGGTCTTCGATGAGGTACTAGTAGCGGCTTAGTAGCGATGCATCTTGCTACTAGTAGCTTCTTGCTACTAGTAGTAAGGTGCCTTGCTGGTAGCGATGCACTTGTTCCTAGTAGCTTCTTGTCACTAGGCCAGGCACAACGTTGGCACCCGCCACCGGCAAAACATGACCTCTCCACAAACGGTCCACAGACGGTGGACAAGGTGCCCAGCTGCACCGGGAGACCAGTCTGGTCGTCCCAGCTCACCGACTTTCCGGGAGGCACCTCGCCGACGTAAAGCTTCTGCTTGGGAGACAGCCTCGAGATGGACGAAGACGTCACTGTCATCATTCGAGTTAGCGTCCGATCGCTCCGTTCGTAGCGATGCCCTTTGCTCCCAGTAGTACGGCCAGGAGCCCCTAGTAGCATTCTTGCTTTCATCCTCTTTCTCACTTGGGGCTCAGCAACCTCTCTGCGTGTAGTGACACGTACCCGCCGCAGCCTCAGAGCATTTCTACAGCACACTGCGATGTTGGCTTCACATCCTAAGCTTTGTACTCTTGTGCGTTCTGCGCGGCGGCCGCGGCGTCTGCCTCTTGGGGATCCTCTGGCCTCTCCCTGCAGGACAATGCAGTCGCCGCATTTGGAGCTCACGCACTCTGTTGCGTCAGCCTGTGAGAGCTCTCCTCTCCGATGTCGCTCGAAGAGATTCGTGAAAATGATGGATCCTGATCTCTCCCAAAGGCAATATCTCTGGCACAATGAAATGCTTTCCAAACGGTTTAGCAGGAACCACAAAAACAACATGCTACACGGCTACACTCAAGCTCAGCTTCAAAGCCTCATCCTGCCTCGTCCTGAACTTCTTCATCCCTCTCCACTGCTGCCGCCGGTGGTATCAAGCGGTCAGCCTTTGGCAATGCAACTGTCTTCCAACCTTTTCTGACCCACATTGGCCATGCCCCAATTCCATGCAACTCAAAATTGACCGAAAAACATCGCAAGAACAAACTACGGCAAAAAGCCAACAAGGGCTTGTGTTGCGGAAAGCAACTTTCAGTTTTATGCTGCATATATATATATAACTTTGGCTCATGAGAATTCATGTGTGCTTCCAGATATATATAGTTTGTGAAGGAGACCTTCTTCCTTGAGCCAGGCACTGTGGCAGAGGCTTGGGAAAGAAGGGCATCCATCTGATGGATGATCTGCCTGGTGGGCGCAAATGTCGTTCCGAAGATTGCACTACTCAAATTCTAAGGTGAAATCCTGTAGGACATCATCACTCCCAGCATGGATTCTAGCCTCAGAAAGACAATACAAATGATTTTTACGCAGGGAAGGCTTGGGAACTCAGATCAATACCCTTGGCGATCTTGTGGGCTTTCTATTGTGCTGGTGTCCTGCAGGAGAATGCCAGAAACTCTGTGCAGCTTTAGAAAGAAAAGTAATAATAAAGCACATTGGTGCAATGCTCAACACCTTGCTATCGCCACCTCTGATCAGAACTCTCAGCCACCCTAGCCTCATCAAGCAGGGATACCAAAGCAGTCATCATCCATCTTTGCCGCACTGCCTCGAAGTCGCAAATCTCAAGGGGAAGCAGCCCAAATGACAATATGAGTCACATGATGTCATATGATGTCAGACATGTTACTTTGAACTTGAATGAGTCATATGACAATATGATTACTCTTTGTGCAGCTTCGCCAACCGGAGTCTGCTCGGCCTGAAGATTGCGGCCCAGCACCCCAAGAATGTGGACGATATCCTCGGGTTGTGCTTTGACGCCAATGGTGCCTACAAAAACTCTCAAATGCCAACAGGGTGGGTGCTCGCCACATTGACTTCCTTTGACTTCTGTGGGTCGTCGAATCGCCAAGGCACAGCGGCCGCTGCCAAAGGCCCAAGATCGTTGATCCTCACCTCCGACAAAACCATCGTCTCAGGTGTCATATGGTGTCATAGTGGTTTCCCCAACCCAAACCACAGAGTCTTAACATGTTTCAACGTCTGGTTGCAATGCTTCAATGAGTCTCCGGCCAGAAGTTCTTCTTCGTCCAACTCTTCCAACTTCCCAACAAAAAAAGTCGATTGCGCTTCGGCCTCAGAAAAATGTACAAGTCATCCACTCCTTTGCAGGCCAACCATCTGACCCCTCTAGAGGCCCTTCCCGGCCGCTTCGAACAGCGTCCAAATTCATGCCGACCAGTCACTTAATCTCAGCTTTGGACCCTTTGCATCTCGGAGCTGAGCTCAATAACACGACAAGCAGCTCCTGCCTCAACAACAACCTGACACATCCTGACACGAACATTCCACCCTTTCTCCTCAACAAAGCCAGGGCTTTGGGCCAGGACAAACTTGATTTCATTCAGCAGCCCATGCGCCAAAAACACTTGCCGGAAAGACCCGCCGATCCTCAGGAGCCTCATCGGAATTGGATCACTTCTGGCTGAGAAAAAGGAAGCAACTTGGAACCCTAAAAGAACAGGAGCGGAAGAGCCCACACCTTCCCCTCCCTTCCGTCCTCCCTTCTCTCCCTTCCTCCCTTCCTCCCTTCCTTCCTTTAACCTTAATGCCCCTTGCGGCTGAGCTTCTTGGTTGAGGTCAAGGTCCACAATGTGACAAACGCGTCCTTTGGCCTCAGAAACGAAAGTGTGCTTTCGTCCTTTGGCGCGTCACAACCCCCAAGATGCGAACACCCACTTCGAAGTCCGCCGGCCTGATGACAACGAACTTGGTCGAACAGATCATCCAAGCAAGCACTTGTTACTAGTAGCGTCCTTGCTCCTAGTAGTAAGGCACTTGTTCCTAATAGCTTCTTGTTACTACTAGTAAGGCACTTGTTACTAGTAGCGATGCACTTGTTCCAAGGCTTAGGCTGAAGAACAACTGCAAAACCTCAGCTCAACAGGTGGGACATGTGACGTCATCAGTCTCTTCCCTCAAGGACAGTAATCAAAAAAGACTTGAGAGTCGCACATCCACCCTTGCTCTTCCGTGACCATTCTAGCCTAACAAAAACATAAGCCAACCATGAATCACTGTAGGCATCTGTAAGTCTAGCAAATTTCAGAAGATGTGGGTCGCACAGTTCAGCATACTTTGGCTCCATCATGACCTAGAGAGGCCGACACAATCGATTCCGTCACGTTGCATCCAGCAATGCGCCTCCTGCTGCGAGCCGAGTCGTAGTCGCTGCCAAACCTTCAGCTTTGGTATGAGGAAGGATCTCAAACTTGCGGACATTGCGTTACCTTGCTAGCCTTGCTAACCCGCTTCTGAGATGTGCTTTTCTAAGTCTCCCATGTTAAGAGCTGCTGAAAGCAAGACTCAGCATGAAAAGAACGCGCATGGCACTCGGGAGCGTTCCTCGCTCCGCCCAGCAACCAAAGCAAGTGGACCGCCGAGCCCTGGCGACAGCTGAGAGCCAGCGAGTCGTAGTGGCGATGCCCTTTGCTCCGTTTGTAGCGAACGTTGCTCCTAGTAGTAAGGCCAGGAGCCCTTAGTAGCGTCCTTGCTCCGTTCGTAGCGATGCCAGGAGCCCCTAATAGCTTCTTGTTCCTAGTGGTGAGCAAAGGGCCTCCTGCTGCATCAAGCTCTACCACTTGAGCCCATGTCTCTCTGCGCTGAGCTTGGTAGGAGGAATACCCCACTGCCTCCGAACTCTCAAAAGCCTTTCATGGTGCTCTCAGTTGTTGGCTGAAACAAGAGGGAGCCTTGCGGATGCTTGATGCCTTACTTGTACTGACCTGAGACAGCACTGCAAGTATCTGCAAGTGTGCAAAGC